ATTATTATTATTATTATTATTATCATTATTATTATTACTAGCAAATATTATTCTTAAACACTACTATTGTCGCTATCATGATCGCTTAACAATGGGCATCTATGTCAATGGCTGTGAAAACGTCAACAACGACAAGCACTTGTTGGTAATGGTTCATATATACGTCAAGGCGAAGGCAACGACGAAAGAGACTATCACCACTACCGCGACTATTACGGCAACAGCAACAACAATAACAACAGCGATGAGAACGACAGCGACGATGACGACGATGATGATGACGACGATGATGATGACAACGACGACGACGACAACGGCGAAAAACTATTGGTGGCGACGACAAATGACTGACGATGAGAAAATGAACAGAAAAAAATGTGTAAGAAGAAATGTTACAAAAATTTTTGCACCTAACAGCACTTTTATCATTGTTTTACCACACGGATAAAGATACAGTGAAGTTATACATTGGTAAACTAATACTTCGATTGTATTACGCACTTTTGGACTGCAAAAGTCTATGGTTTATGGAGAATCAAGCACGCCCCCACGCACGGAGAATCACACACGCATACACACCCACCTACTGAATATACATGAAGGGTGATTAAAATGTATATGCGTGGATCCATACAAATGTAGATGAAACGTAGATAGGTTTCTCTAACTGGGCCTATGTCAAACTAACTGTAACGCAGAAGACTTCTCCACTAATTACTGCAAGTATTTTCAACTTGAATTTTTCAAAATAACTATTCGTATATGGACATACGACAACAAACGAGCACAGACACAAAGACCCACAAAAATACGGAGAGACGAACGCAGAAACCCAAACATATACATATGGATGGATACACGCAATGATCGGTGTACACAGGCATTCATAATGATAACTGTGTATTATCTATGATCAAGAAAAGATTATTGAAATATAGACGTTTAGACGTTTATTGAGAAGGTTCGTAAAAAATACGGAAGACTTAACAATGTAATTTATCTATATAAGCAAGCTTTTTTTCTACGCTTTACTTTTGAAAACTTTACTGAAGTGACTAATTAATAAAAAAAATGAACAAAAAATTGAAATACTGGATACTTTTATGAAAAATAATAGTAAAAAAAAAAGAATTTCATGATTACAAAAGCCCAATTTTTATAAGCCAAAAGTCATTGATTCCAGCGACGTATTACAGATAATGCAAAAAGAAAAAAAAAAGTGATAAGTCGATGAGCAATTTCAACGAGAAAATGACAGCAGTAAACTGATAACCTTTAAAATGTCTAAATAAAGAAAAAATAAGTATGAAAAATTGTCTTGAAACACACGTAACAATAAAATTAATATCCGCTAATCAATGCAAAAAAAAAAACTTGCCTTTTTT